ACATGTATGATCGAGTCATCCTCTGCAACGGGAGTATCAACAATGGCAAGGGCATCGGCGGTGGCTCTCACATATTGTAAGTACTTGGCAATGAAGCGAGTTCTACGTGGGTTATCATGTAGTCGTTCTTTGAGAGACATGATGCAAGAGCGAGATTTGTTCGTGAAGAGGACATAGAGATGAGTCCATGCGGACTTGGAGGAATGGACGTTGGAGATGTGTGATTAAATTTTTGCCATACAACTTTACGTAATCGCATTCGGGATGAGTTGATCCTGGCGATACCAAATACGAAATCTTTGGGTTTTCAATTCTTTTGGTCTTGTCTTTTGGGTCGGGGATTTCGGTTGTTGGTTTGAACAAAAGACCATCAATGTGATAAAAGAGATCATATCTAATTAGAGCGAACGAAGTTGAGTTTTCTAGATTGAGAAGTTGGATTGATTGAGTTTGGTGAGGAGATGGGACGGGGCATTGAAGGGGACGATCCGGTTGGTTAGAGATGAGGAGGCCACGAATCATTTTTTCTTATAAGAGCTTTTAATCACGAGTTCTCCGGTACCATAAAAGAAAGCGCTGCAACTTTTGGAAGATGTGTTTTTTCATTCCGTAGCGAGAGGGCTAAATACATGAGGTTACGGGATATGCTTTACAAGCTACACTTACGGGATATGCTTTACATGAGATATGTATAGAAAGAGTACAACATAGACTAGGAGATGAAGACTAACCGACTAACTACTTGTGGTTATCCGTAACTAGTTTGACGGACATAATGATACAACAATCGAAAATGCAACAACCAAAACTATTAATAATCAATGAAAAAGAAAGAAATTAAGACTCGTCGGTAACACAAAATAAATAATAAAAAAACAATACAAGAAACATTCTCGGTAAATCAATAAACCCAACTGAGTAAAGAATGAGATTTTCTAAAATTCTAATTAATGGAAGCTTTGTGAATAATTGAATAGAAGCATAAATTCCATATACCAATGATAGAGAGCAAACTAATAATAATAAAAATAAAAATAAACTAAAAAGTACTAAAACACGATAAAAAAAAAACATACCTACTCTGCTATGGATGTGCCTAATAGCCACCATAAGTATCAATTATATTCCTCCATAATTGTGAGCATCAATAGTTCTCGATGAGAATCTATATGATGATAAAGGTATAAAAATTATATTTGATAATAGTTTTATTCTCTTTGGATCGGAGCAAGAAAAGATAGATAAAAACGGAAAAAAGAAATATTATTTCATTGAAGAGATGAGGGAAATGGGGAGTGGAGATTGGGTTGGTAGATGTTAGGACGAGTAATATATTTTAAAGATAAGGTTGAACACATGAAAATCATTCATTCATTCAATAGATTACCTCATTGTCTTTGTATAAATAAAAATATGATTTGCTAAAAAGTTATGATGGACGATCGGATGAAAGAAATGAACTTGAGATGGATGGTTTAGATGAAAAAGAGAACCAATTTGAGTGTCATCCGCAATAAAATTAGGTCTATGTGAATAATATTTGAACGGTGAAAATCTTTATTCTTTTAGTTTTGTTCATTAATTTTCTCATTGATATACGGAGTGCATCTACCGACTCTGTCTCTTTTTTATACAAGTGGCTAATCTTTTTCCCTCCTCTTTTCTTATAGATTTCTCTTGTGCCATTATTTTTTTTTATGTTTTTTATCTTTATTGATTCCTTTTTTTACAATTTATTTATTTATTTATCATTATGAGACTTCTTATTCCTACGTAACATTTAATACTCGATGTTCATATCTTTTTTATTTTCTTTTCTTATGGATTTTCATTCTCTTACATCGATTCCTTGAGCCAATGGAGGGGGTCAATGAATCATTGGTTTGTGTCGGTTCGATATTCGCTTGGCCACACGTTTTGAGATTGACTGCGTTTTTGGTCATCAAAGTCTTCTCGAATGGTTTTGCCAGCGCCAGTTCATTCTTTGCCAAATGTTTGATTTGATTTTTTGTTCTTCATGGCTATCTCACCCTTTGTTACATAAGAATTTCCTTGGTGATGGCCCAATTGGTCATCGTTTACCACAAAAAAAGAAAAAGTTGGTTCCTTTGGCCATATTGTACAAAATGCAGTGCTCTTCTAGTTTTTTTTTTGTTCTTAATCGATTGATTTTGCAATGATTTAGTTCATTTTTTACAAGATAAGTTCTTCAGTTTTCTCTATTTTTAATTATGGTTGTGCTTGCTCTCTGTCTTTTCTCCTTATTTTTAATTGTTGCCACTGTATGATGTTTGGGGCCCTCTCATTAATTTGGATGTGGCTCGTTTTAGTTATAACCATCATGAATTGCTTAATTTGATTAAAAAATGAAAAATGTAATTTTTTGTTAGCAGTAAAAAATACATAAATATTTCATTTTATATTTTGAATTTGTTACTGTCATAGTAAAGTTAAACTAATAAAGGATATTTTGGATAAAAAAATATTTTTATTGTCATTTTATTTTTATTTTGTAGATTGAATGATCATATATATCTTCAAATGTTTTTTTTTATTTTTTTCAAAATTTATTTATTTAAATTCGGTAAAAAAATAAGATTAAGACAAAAAAAATAGAGTAAGGGAATAAGATTAAGACAGAAAAAAAGTTAACACTATTAGCTCCAAAGTTAATAAAAAGATAAGATTAAGACATAAATCAAATATAAAAAGTTGAATTTAAGATGAAAAAGAGTGAAAAAATATGATAAAGAAAAAAAGAAAAGAAAAAGACCTTTGCAACCATTAACCAAATTAACGATGTGTTTGGAAAGTTAAAAATATAAGGGATTTAAAAGAAGGGGGAGGAAAAATAAAGAGAAGAGAAAACATGATGAAAATTTTCGGCTTGTCTCCATATTGTTGAGAAACGTGGACATCTTTTTCGTTTTCTTATTAGCATACAAAAATGCCTTTAGGAAAGATTTAAAATAAAATATCTTATTTCTCATCATTTCCGAATAAAAAGGTAAAAAGATAATTTAATTTTTAAATATTTTTCCCTCGATACCTCTAAAAAAAAAAAAAACTGTTTTATTTCATTTTCTTTCCTCCCATCTTCATTTGCAATCCAACAGTATTGAAATCTTTCTGTCCCTCCTTTAAAATTTCTCAAACATAGTGTAAATACATATACTTTTATTTTTGTTAATGGAATGTCTAAATTTTCAAAAATTTATCACTTGAGTGTTTTTAATTTTAAAAGCTAACATATGTCCACTTCGCAATCTTGTATTGATCACGTTTTACTAAATTAAATTAAATAAGATCAGGACAACAAAATGGTAATAATTATTTATTTAAATTAAAAGAAAATAAGAATAGAATGCGTCAAAAAAATAAATCGTGTAGATCATAATTGATAGGTAAAAACATAAAAATAAAAAAGCAAGAAAATATATGATTTTTTTTTTAAGGTTTTAGTGAAGATTGGTATGCATATATTTGTGTGGATAAATGAGATTAAAGACTTTATTGAGAAATATGAACATATATGAATTTGTATTTAAAATTATTTTTTAAATAATAATAATAATAATAATTTTTTTAAACGTGCAGATTTATCTGTTTTGCTATAGAATGGAGGAAGTTGAGTCAATCTAAGTTGGATAAGTTATCTTTTATTATTACTTTCTTTTAATTTGATTAAATTTTTTATTATTGTCTTGTAGTTTTAATTTTTAATATTATTTAACTTGGTAAAATATGGTCCATATAACAATGTAAAGTAAATATTTAACAGCTTTTAAAATTAAAAACACTTAATTGATAAATTTTGAAAATACAAACACTCAAATAAAAAAACAAAATTATAAACATATTATAAATGAAATAAAATAATTATATACACTATACATTAATATGTTGGTGTGTTTAATGACAATATTAGCACATTTTTAATGAAATTTAAGAAAAACAATTGATGAAAAAAATTAAATTCTTACACATTCAAATAACAAAAAGTAAAAATAAAGACATCAAACTAGAAAAAATATAAAAAATTCACACACTAAGTATATAATAATATCAATTTTTTTCTAACAAGAAAACCAATTTCCTTCATATCCAAATTATTTATAAAGAAAAAGGAAAATTAGTGGAATGGGCCCGAGTGGGTTTTAAACTGAGAACTTATACTAAACCTGCTCTCCTCTTCACGCTTCCCGCTGCTTAACGTCGCTTTTCAATCAAATCTCTGACCGTTAACGTCCGAACTAACGGCGTGAAGGACAGGACAGGAGGGAAATGAAAACTGGGAAAACGTTCAAACCCGAAAAATAAACTTGACCGCAAATTTTCCATTCTCCCTCTCAAGTTCCCCCCCCCCCCCCGCTCTCTTTCACTCACTAACCTGCTCTCGAGTTTTGTTGAATTTTGCCCTAATCAAACTTTTAATTTTTAGGGCAAATCGATCAAAAATCCTATGTTTGAACAGTACCTCGATTTTTAATCGCGATATTCAAAAATCGGTTTCTCTCGATGCATTATCTATCGCTCAAATTTTACTTCCCAAAGGTAACAGTAACACGTCTTTCCCTTTTCTTTCCCTTTTCTTAATTTCTCCATAAAATCTGCGTTTAATGTTGTCAGTATAATCGATACGACATTAGATTGTTAGAAATCGATCCTCGCTGCATTAATTGGATTTCTTTTTCTTTTCTTTTTTGTTACTGTTTGTTAGCTTACTATTTAATCGAATAGGAGGGAGGTTTTCAATTTGATTTTGGATTTATTTAGATTTAGAATCCAGTTTGGACACTATGGAAAAGCTTATATGGTGTTTGATGTTATGTTTCCGTTAGTAACGAGCTAGATCTATTTATTAATTGCAAATTGACTGTTTAAACCCGTTTGTGGTCATACGGGCGCGTGTTAACGAAATGTTATTGAAAAGTTGTATAGGTGGTGAGTTGATTGGTGCGAAGGAGTTGGGAATTTTAAAGTGTTCGAGAGAGTAATTTATGGCAAAAGTTGCTGCACCGGGACGTTTGTTTGGTTCTGTTACTGTTCAAATTGGTGGAGCTTCTGCTGCTTTAACTGATGGTCCAATGGTTAGAAGGAAGACTCCATCGGAACTGAGAGTAAGTTTTCAAATTGTGCGTTGTTCTGTTTTGTGTTTTAGGGTTTTTACTTGGAAGTGTTTATCACCTTTTGGATGGTTGAATTTTGGCATTTCAACCACGATAACGGGAATAGATTCATGTGTGCATGATGGTCTATGTCTTTTCTGTATTCACATCTGTTGTAGATATTGAAGAGGAAGGGATGAAAGACATAAATTCTACTTGTATGTTCATTGATCAATTTCTGATCAACGTGCTTCGCATTGATCAAATTCCTTTTTCTTTGTGTTTGAATTTCTTTATTCCTTTTTCTTTGTGTGTGTGTTTGTGGAAATGGTTTATGTGTATTGACCAGTTTCCTCATAATTCTTTGGCTCGCTTTCTCGTTATATACCTGCTTAACGTGTTCACTTCTGTCTTATAAACACTTTCATCTGTATGTTAATCAAATTGGAAGTGTTTTGGGGAGTATTGCCTTTCATTTTGAATTGCAAGAGCTGAGGATCTACGTATAAAATTTGTATGCAAGCCCGTGATGTATTAGCATAATGTCACCGGGACAGTCATTGTATTAACTGCATTAAATTCAAGTTCAAGAATCTTTTCAAAACTAATAAATTGTAGTGGAAAAAAATCTTCACTGTTTATTGTCCTTGTTGGCATGCAGGGAGAGCAGCTGAAGAGGACAAAAGTTGTAGAGATTGTAGATGAATCTCCAGCCCCACTGGGTTCAAAGAAGTAATTACCCTACTGATCTTTTTCTTAACTTTTACCTTATTTTATTTATTTTCTGATTTGGTGACCATTTCTTTTCTTACCTCCCAGTAATAGTAGTGAGGTGGATAATGGGCTTAGGAAATCAGATGCATCTAGGACTCCTCGATACATTGACACCCGTATGGATGAAGTATATCCTGTCAAAAAATCCAGGCTTAGGATGCTTTCTGTAAAAGACAGTGCAAAGGTTATTATATTTTCCATATTAGGATGCTGAAGTTCTGGTTTTGATTCTGTTATTATGATGCAGTATTCATTTGTTCACTGTATTCCCATTCACTCAGGAAAATACAACTGAGCAACCTAATGGCCTGAAGAATATCTCTGTGCTTTCAACTCTGGCTGCCAAGAGAAGGCAACTTTCATGGTATGCCTTTTAGCACAATGTATCTCACCTACAATATGTAGACAGTTCCTTCCTTTCTCACTGGTTTTGCTCTTCATCTCCTGGCAGTCCAGAGATTTCGGTTGCTTCTGATGAAGTTTTGGAAGATGGTGTGGTACAACCTAGTCAAACAATTGAAAAATGCAGTCAAAGTATATTTCGCAGTGTTACTCAGCTTTCATCTAGTGGTGAAAAGTCATCTGGCTTGGCATTTGTTGACATGGTATACTTTGCTAGCAATTTTTCTTTCTCGTTTTACTCAAGTCATGTTGTTCTGACTGGACTTGCTTACACAGGATAAAGCATTAAAAGGACTTGTGGCCCATGAAGCTCCTAATGCTTCTGGTTTAAATGCTGATTCTTCTGAAAAGGCTGGCAATCATAGTGGCAGTTTCTGCTCTGAATGCAATATAGCTGGCCAAAAGGCTCCTCTTGATTTTACTTTGAAAACCAGAATGCGAGTGGCATCCTCTTGCTCAGTTACTTGGTGAGTTTGTCAAGTATATCAGAAATTAGTATTTCTTTTATTAGTTCGTCCTGCTGCTTCTGATTTAAGATAATATTAACTCTTGAGCTCAGTTGATGGTTACTTGATCTTTCATCATGCGAGTGTCTAAAACTTTAAGTTAATTAATTTTTTTCTTTTTCTTAAGTTATTTTTTCAGTCATACTATTATAACTTCATTTGTGATCCTGTTACTTTATTATGCTTGTAAAAAACCTCAATTAAATGCATACATGAATTATGATAAGGTACAAATAGCTTAACCCATCCCTTTGCCTTTGAGATAATAGGATGCTCTTGTTTTGACTTGAGAAAGTCTGTATTGTTCATATCAATGCTTTCTTGTGTATGTTCTATGTTTGTGGTTGTGTGCGACATTGTTTTCATTTTTCAATATGGATAAAGGTTCTGTTTCTGACTTCCTCGGCTATTTATTATGAAAATAATCATGAAGTGTGTGGTACTTTTTGTTTCTTCAATGACTTCTTAACAATTTATTAACTTGATAATGCATGCCATATCGACAGCTGTGAATTTATTTGCTAGCAATTTCCATGTTATAGGTTGTTAATTGGTTGTTAATATTTTGTTTGCAATTGTTAGGATTCATAGGTCAATTATGAGCAGTACCTACAATGGCATGCCACAGCTTGCATCCGAATTTGGTGATTCCAAGGACAATAGTAGCTGGGGGCAGGCACTTACTTCTCAAATCCATAGTTCTAAAGCTTTGCATTCGTGGGTTTACCCTCAATCCACTTTGCCTTCTGCTGTCATATCAGTGTTAACCTCATCAGCAACTGAGGGAGGTTGTCAAATAAAAACAATTACTCAATATTAATTGTTTTCTATTCCCTTCCCCCTTTCTCTTCCTAACGTTCTTGCCTTTTATTTTGTGGACATAGATTTTTTAAGGAAGAGGCAGCTGGCGTGGGAGGATTCTTTTCGGAGTCTTTATTACATGCTTCGAAAGAACATTTGCAATATTTTTTATGGTATTTTTCTGCTCTTGTTCTATTAAATCTCTTCTATTTTCTCATCCTGCTTTAAATTCTGGTTCTTTTTCCACAACCATGGAATATTATGTGCAAAATAAGTATGTTGTTGCTTCCTGTGAGGCATATTACTTGGCTTTAGTAGATGTCACAGCTTGTGTCTGCTCATCTATATTTTGACTCTCAAACCTCCTTTCTAAGACTACTAATTTGGTACTTTGTATACTGAAAGATACTTGTAACATGTGAATCATGCAAAAGCTTTTATTTGTGAGGTTATATGCTTTTCTCCATTTCTTTAGCCAGTGAAGGTATTTTCCCCTCAAACTACATGTTAACATTGAGTTTTCATGGGAACTTTTTTGTAGTGTGCACTTCACAATTTGTGGCGATGTTCACTGGTAGATCAGGCTCAGGAAGAACCAAACACCTATGCAATGCTTACATCTCCCGGTCGACAAGAGGTCTGAGGTCATTGTTGAGAGAGCATGTAAGCTTTATCTGTTGATATTTTTAATATTTGCTTATTTATGTTAATAATTTTGGCAGATGTTTTTTGATCTTGATATGTTTTGTTTTAAGTTTGTCATATTATGCGACACTTTTAATTTGTTGTGTAGGATGTTTGTTTCTCTATGCCACTTTGTCATTCTAAAGTAGAGCAAGTCACCACTGAAGATTTAGTTGAGCTCTCTGAGATTGAGAAACAAAATTTGGGCCAGGTAAGTGAATTATTTCCATATTTGGCCATCTTGCATTTCTGTGAGCTTGAATGAGATGCCTTCCCTGATATCATAGATCATTAAGGTTGCGACCATCTTGGATAGTTAATACTTTGAACTGATCATAATCAGACAATTAATCCTCCTATTGTTCTTTTAATGAATGAGCAGTCCTAGTTAAATACCTGCTATTCTTGAGTTCATGATCATTTAATATTTGAAATTTTGGGCTGTCAAGGATATCAGCAACCTGGAGTTATGATGTCTGATTATCACAGTTCTTGGGATGTGATGATTGCACATCCCAAGCTCCTAGTTTTGTCTTCTAATAATTACATTGCTAAACTGGAGAGTTCTGTACAATTCTCTCTTTGTAGATCCTCCAACATTTACTTTTGATTCTATTGCTTGTGCTTTATAATTTATTTGTGGTTTCTGCTGAACATAATGCAGACTCGTCGCCTTTGTTCCTTGTCTGATGTTGATAATAGCCCCCAATCTCTGCTGGCTTTCCTTGGAAACAAGAATGTACATGGATTATATGACTTTTTGTTAAATTACAGGTAGGTACAGTGTTGAAATTGGAACAAAAATATCTTCTTGTTAGAGTTTAGCTGTACTATGGTTCAAAAATTAATTCCACAATTTTCTGCATAATGTTATGACTATATCACATTTCCTTGTGGTTGTCTTCAGATCTTCTATCACCTTTCTTTCCGGGGTAGATGTTCCTGTATTGTACTCACCTGTTCCATTTCAGAATGCAGCTCTTTCTGCTCCGGAGGTGGGTGTTGTAAATTTAATCTAGGGCTCCTCAATATATAGAGCTAAAATTCAAAACATACTCTCATCTCTTTTAGTGATGTACCTATATTTGCTTCTATTGCCGAGTCTTTTCTCATTATCAGACCAAAATTTTCATTCCCATTGATCTTTTGTTATAGGGCCTCATGTGTGACACGTTCATTCACAGTCAAATTTTATAAACTTAAATAACATTAGTGCTCTTTTATCAGCCGCTATTTATCTGTTGCAAAGTTTTCCATTATATTCTTTTTTAATATAGCTATTCTTTGATGCAAATAAATATACCTTGCTTTTCATCAGTGTATAAAAGCATTCTTTTTAATGTGGAGAATATGAATCTAGTAAAAACAATGTATGAAGTATAATTCTTGCCTCTTGATGTCAGAAGCATGTGTTCACATCTGAGTACTGATCTTGTTTTACAGATAAAATGTGTGGAAATAAAAAGAGCTGGCCATAATGCTGCCTCTCCTAAAGAATCTACAGTGAAAGATACTGAATCCAGTCAAGGTTCATCCATTGGTCTCTTGTCCAGCATTGAAATTAAAGATGTATGTATTCCATCGTGGATTGTTTGCCGAATATGTGCACTCATGGGCTCCGCAGGGAGAAGCTTTGTGGCAAGGTATGATAAATTCCCACACCAGCTTCAGTCATCCAGGCCTTTATTTGGTGTGGTACCATAATTATATAGTTGCTAATCAGTGCTTTATTAGTGTTTTGATTTCATTTGGACAATTTTCAGCTTTACAACGGAACGCACCTCAATTGGCTTGAATGTTGCTCTTGAGACAGCCTGTGAGAAACCTGATCAAGCTGAGGCAGTTGAAGGCTTGGAAGAGAGCAGCCATGCTTTTGGTATTCCAGAAGCCACAGTTGCTCCTTGCTTGCGTTCAGGTTTTTTAAAAGGCTTGAAGTACTGTGATGGTTCTTATATGGCTTCCCTCTCTCCGGTCTGACATTTTGCTCGTGGAGTCTCTGATAGAGACGCACCATGGATGTGCATTTTGCTGATTAAATCGATCCTTTCCCCATCTTCTTTCGCTCTGTATTTCCATCCTATGTAATCTTATTTGTTTAACAGAATGACAGTAACTGATTGACGCTATGTAGGCCTTGGAAAAATTTAAGAAACAAGCTGACATTATGCCTTTTCCCCTTTGCCTGTTATGTTGCTTGCCCTTTACTTTTAACTCCTTTCCCCCTTTTTTTTTTTTTTTTTGGGAGAAATTTGCTCTTTTCCAATCCAAAGTCTATTCTATTTATTCAACATTTTACAACTGTTTTTTCTTCTCTCTTTGAGATTGAATCGTTCAACTGGAAAGTTGAAAGTAAATAATATTGTGATCTAGAATGAAACTTGGAGCTGGAAAGAATCATTTGTTTCAAGAAGGTTATGTATAAAATAAAAAATGAAAAGCTTTAATTGCCTAACAAAAAAATATTAGCTCCGGTTTGATTTCCAAAAGCTCCATATTTCAATTTGTTGTAGCTAACTCTTATCAATTTTTTCCCTTTCTCTTTACTCAAAGAGCAACATCTACTTCCCTTTTTAATGTATGAACAAACGTGCATTATTCGAAGATGATTTAATCCTTGTGTTCTTAAACCCCGTCACTACTGTGAAGTTATCACCAAGCTGTGTTCCTGCTCTGGGAAATCATGCCAAGAGTTCTTCAGCATGGTTTGAAATTGTCTCTGAGTTTGTCACACACAGTTCTAAGAACATTATTATTCAAGTCTAAGAAACTTCAGGGAAAAGCTGAATATGCAAGTAAATATCATTATATGAACTGCATTTTCTTTTACCAGTAATCCATGCAAGAACAGGCTCCTCCTTTAAAATGATGGAACCTGTTCCGATCTCTTACAATTAGCTCTCGTTCATAAACCTTAGAAATCATCTTTGTAGCAGTGTGGCAATCTTCACATACCCGCAAGTTCTTCACTATTCGAATAGAATCGTGGGCTTTAGTTCTCATAATCGCATATGCAATAGCAAGCTTCTCGCTGTGCCTGTGTATGTTGCTTTCCTTTTCCTCTTCATCTATGTCAAACAATGCATCATTGGTATTTCCAGTGTACCCTGCCAGTCTTATCTTCCTAAGAATCTCTTCCCACATTCTTTCAATCTTCTGTATTTCTGGGTGGGTTTTATCTCCAATCGTGAATTTATGAACTTTCCCGTCCATCTCAAACAGAGTGTAACCAGGTGGTTTCACAACTCCTCTTTCCTTCATCAACTGTCTCATGTTCTCAACATCCTCCCACTTGTTTGTGCGTGCATAGATGTTAGAAAGAAGCACATAGTAACCACTGTGTTCTGGCTGTAACTCGATCAAAGTCTTCCCAACTCTTTCTGCAATTTCTACATTTTTATGTATTCGGCAAGCTCCAAGCAGTGCTCCCCAAATTGGTGCATTAGGTTTCACAGGCATTTCAATAACAAATTCCTCAGCTTCTACTAACTTCCCTGCTCGACCAAGCAGGTCAACCATGCACCCATAGTGTTCTAACCTAGGCTCAATCCTGTAATCTCTTTTCATGCTCTTGAATAGCTCCAATCCTTTTTTGACTAATCCCCCATGGCTACAAGCTGATAAAACAGCAGTAAATGTTATCTCTCTCGGTGTTAACCCTGACTTCACCATTCGTGAGAAGTACTCAAGTGCTGTCTCTGCATAACCATGCATTGCAAATCCAGCAATAAGAGCTGTCCAGCTTAATGCATCTCTCTCTGGAAGTTCGTCAAAAACCCGAATAGCTTCTTCAATACTTCCACATCTTGCATACATATCCACTAGTGCAGTGCCCAGAATCAAATTCACCGTCATCTTATTTCTTAAAATATAATCATGTGCTCTTTCTCCAAGTTCAAGTGCACCTAAATGAGCACATGAAGCTATGACACTAACCATCACTGTCTCATTAGCCTGCACCCCTTTTGATTGAAGTAAATTATACAATTCTATTGCCTTATCAAAAAAATTATTTTTAGCATACCCACTAATCATTACACTCCACGTAACCAAGTTCTTTTCAGGCATTTTATCAAACAATTTCCTGGCAGACACAACATCTCCTGATCTATTATAACCAGCTATCATTGAAGTCCAAGAAACAACATCTAAACATGAAATTCTCCTAAAAATATAAGTAGCAGCCTCAATATCCCCTAATGTAGAATACATATTGATAAGTGAATTTTGCACATAAACATCATTATCAAATCCATGCCTAATTATTTGACCATGAGCTTGAATACCCGTATCCAAAGAACCCATTTGAGCACAAGCCTTGACTAAAAATGGGTATGTAAGATTATTAGGCACCACGCCATTTCTCTTTGACTGGACATAAAAATGGAAGGACTTATCTGGGTTTTTGCTTGCTGAAAAACCCCTTATAAACGAATTATAAATAAAAAGATTTGGGTCTTGGATTTGATAAAAGACTTGTAATGCATAATCAAGTAAGTTCTTGTCTATGCTAATGGAAATGAAGCGACTTGCAGCAAAAACATCAAAGATTGTGTGGGTTCTTATCATGTGGGCATGTACGATTTTTAGTTGGGAGAGAGTGGTGCAAGATTCTAAGAACAAAAGTTTTGGATTCTTTAGCTCTAGGTTCCTTAAAACTAAGCTACTAACACTACTCATCTTTTTCAAAAGCAAACTCAAGTCTCCCTCTTAGATGCCACATAGGTCTATGGAGACGCTTTCTAAACTCGAGGGAGAGGTTTTTTAATTTAATCCATTGGAGATCATAATAGTTGAATTTAAGAGAATTATAAAGAATTTAAAACAGTATGGATTGGCACTTTCTAAACTCAAGGGAGAGGTTTTTTAATTTACTCAATTGGAGATCATAATAGTTGAATTTAAGAGAATTATAAAGAATTTAAAACAGTATGGATTTTTATTGTAGCTAATCTATGAATGAATCAAAATGGTGTCGTTTTGTTCAATTTAGCTCAAGACATTACCGTTTTGACAATATATATATACGTAAGAGTTTATTTTAGCACCAGATGTGTTTGGTTATTTACAAATATGAATTCATTTTGATAATTGATTTGTATGAAATAATCTCTAAACTTTATTATGTTAAAATAGAGTTCTTCAAAGTAGACAGAAGAGATAGAGGGAGGAGAAATAATCTGTTTTTTTTTTTTTTTTCTAGAATTGTTTATAACTTATTTTGATGTTCAAAAATAGTGTCTAAATATTACTAGAATGATTTTAATGTGTTTAAAGGTAAAAATAGTATATAAAAAATTAGGTTTGAAGGCCAAGAAATATTGTTGAAAGTTGTATGGACGTTGAAATATTGTTAAATATTACATGATGCATATTAAATTAAAAAATTCTCACAATTAATATTAATTCATTTTTACTTCATTCAATTAGGATTTTTAAAATGAATTCATATTAATTCATTTTTACTATACCGATGCTTCCGAATATCTAGTGAAGTGCAGTGTTTGCTAATAAAGTGAAGTAGAAAAAATAGTTACATAGTTGGGCAAAATGAGTTCCTTTTGAGTTGGTATGATGCAATACATGTAAAACGGGCATTCATGCCTTGCATTTTGATGCTTCCATTTTGATCCCCTACTTCCCATTCGCATATGGGACCTAAGATTTGGCAAATAACCTTGATTTCTATATCTAATTCCTGAGTCTCAATGTATGTATAACAAAACAAAACAAAAGTTACGAATTATTCAAAATTCATTAGCAAAAACCGAATGGGAAAACGACTCGTTTCCCACAAGAAGAAAGAGAGAGACTCAAGCTTGGATCCTTGAGAGCAAAATAAAAATGTTCTTCATCTTTATCCCACCACAAGACAATGAAGATCATGGTTTATAGAGAAGCAGAGGAATATGGACACACTCCTGTGTTCGTTCCGGAGGAAGTTGTTGTCCACGTCGTGGAGTTCGTTTAGAAAGAGAACTTGAAAGCGCCAGCATGGGAATCAGTCACTGAGTCCCAGAAGGATGGTTTTTTTCTTGGGCCTTTTTCTCCTCTGCTTTCTGCACCAATTGATTGATGGTTCCAGGGAAAGTACACTCAATAGCATTCTCGAACTTATCATGCAAATTCACACGGTCTTGAGTTCCAGACACTAGTTCGCCTGCATTTGGCCTCTTAAGAAAATGCAAAACATTCAACAGATTTCTCCTGCAACACAGAAAATCAAGTATCTTCAACTGTTCTACATTCTATTTCTGCCACCAAACACTCAGGATGGGAGACCATATCTTCTATTTGGAAGTACTAAAAGAATAATGTAGCTTATACTCTTAAATATTGGTTAGGCAAACCATTATGAGGTCAAGCAATGCGTTGGTGTTGGGCAAGAAAGATGTCTTTAACCAAGGTTTACAAAGATCTTAGTACCAAATTCTTCTCACTATCAAATTTGTCTCTAATGTTATACTTAATGAGCTATTCCAACCCAGCAAAACAACCTTTCTTGACAGTTCAAATGGCGAGAAACAAGTCCAGCTAGAAAATGGGGAAAAAGGGGAGATGCCAAAAGGTATCCACTATGTACATATTTAGTCCAAAGGTTAGTCAGGAACAGATAAAAAAAAATTACAAGACCCCTTTAGTTAACATGAGCTCTATGAGGTCTCATGCATATGCAGTACAAATGCTTAAAGCTATTATCGTACATTAATTAATAAATGTCCAAATGTGTTCCCAGACCTAATTCTGGAAACACCAGTCAGAAGATTTTCAGTTAAAGTGCACAACATGTTCATCCAAATACCTGAGCCATCATAACCAAGATCCAGTTGTATGGATCAGTGAGATCTTTTACATGCTTATATATAAAACCACAAACACGGGCAGGTAGGATGCTGAGTGCCAATATAAAACCAATGCAACTTTATCCTTGAAATTGATCCCAAATGCCATTACAGACTGATAAACCACCAAGCTTTATGAGTTCATAAATCGAAAGTATGACCTCAACTGCATTTAGGTGCAGATGGTCATGAGAAAAGATATGTTAGGATCAGAAGCAATCACTCATTTTGAGGGGCTGTCAGCACGATCAAAGGTAGACTGGAATGGATGCTAAGTTCTGTGCTAGATGAGTCAGTTGGAACCAACCAGAATTCTGGTAGTTCATATCCTAAAATATGAGGTAGCAGTGGGCAGGCCAGGTTGAAAAGCAACGGAAATTACTGAATTCCCACCCTCTGGAAAATAGTTTCTTCTCCACTGTTTAGTTTATGTAATAACGTAAGGTATACACATGGCAAAGGAAGAGGTAATCTAATAAAAGTTCATTACTTTCAATCCAGAGAAGCGAAGACCTTAGTTGAAAATTGGCTCCTGCATACAAACCAAAGAAGCTAACACAACCTAGCTTTCTGAAACCATGATCCAATGGAAAAGACCTTCTAAGCCATAACCATTGAATCCTTTCACTGACCTATCCTCATTGCACTTTCCATCCATGAATATTGGGTTTGCTGTGGTAAGTTATCCTGATCAATTTCATGAATCATACCTCTAGTTATCAACTTATGAAGTTACACTATGGTAGGCCAATCTCATTCATTATAAGGAAATAAAATCAAAACTTTTACTCAACTAATAAAGTCAGGCCAAAGGAAAAACTCCTTAGCAAAACAGATGAACTTCCCGAAGAGAAAAAAATAAGAACTATCTGAATTATGGAGATAATTAAAAACAAAAGAAACATACCTGCTGACATAATTCTGTGTGATAGCAATGGATTCTTCCAAGTTGATCACCAAATGCCACCAACCATTGGGCACAAAGATCACTTCACCAGCCTTACAGATGCACTCAATAGGTCTCTTTTTCCAGTTCTTTGTTGCACCATAAAAGTTCATGAACCATTCAATTATGGAAACAGGGCATGCCACCTCTGCACCATCTGGGCTCGGATGTACACCAGGAGGTATCACATCAGGCGGGAACAAAACCCACTTCTTAGACCCCTTTACCACTGCATTCCAAGCAGATGTAGAATTAGGATCTATGTGAAATGACGAACCAGATCCTGCCGGGCCAATTATGATCCACCTATAATCTGGCCTCTCATTACCTAAAACACTAAACAAATCCTCTCTAAAGTACACGGGAACCTCATACTCTGAACCCAAAACAGGAACCTTCTCAACAAATTTCGGGTCAAAGAGATACAATGGCCTTTCTTCCATCACTTGATCCGAGTACCTAAAATACCCTTGAAGCCTCATCTCCACCGGCCCAGCTGCAAACTTCATATCACTACACACCTTAACCAAATAATCCTTATCCCATTTTTGCAATGCAGCCCAATTATCAATACACCCTTCCAACAATACCGGTTTATTCGGTTCCTCGAAATTCATCACAAATTCCTCGACAGAAATACCTTTCTTTCTAACTATATTATCTCTCTCAAGCCATTCAGGTTTCATTTCAAGACTAGCACATAACCAACTTTGAAAAAGATAATCAGAATAAAAGTCTCTAACTTTCAAACATGAACAACCACTGCAATCAAATGAAGGGTAAATACCACCAATATAAGTAGACTTCCATGACCCATTAAACAAAAACTCACCATTTAACTTATCCAATACAAGGTTTCTCCATAAAGGTTCGTGATTAGTGAAAACATAAAAAGATTTGCTAACAGTAGCTAAAACTCCTAACTGGCTCCCATCAACAAATCCTAAAATATCAAGAACCAACTCATCAGTCAAGATTTGAAGATTACCTAAACCGGTATTTCTTGAGTTAATGGAGCCTAGATTTAAGTAAAGATTGCCCAGTGGCTGGACCCCATGAGTATTTGATGGAGCTGATGTTTTTAGATTAAACCCTTCGGTGTCTTCTTCTAGTTCCTCTTTTTCAATAGGATCTTCTTGGTTTTTATAAATGGGTTCTTGTTTTTTGTTTCTTGTTTTGGTTTTGGGTTTTTTGGGTTTTTTGTGTCTTTTCTTTCTTATGGTTTGAGATAACAAGTTTCTTGAGGTTAGCATTGCAAAGAGAGAATAACGGTATGGTGCCGCCTTCTTCAGGTTCTGAAAGGAGGCAAGGATTTAAGGCAAACGTTCAAAGGTTTTAGCATGGTATCCACTGGTCACTTTAGGCGTTTCGAGGTGGAGTTTTTCTCCCTTTTCTTTTGAACAAGGAAAGAAACGTCTTTTTATTTTTACCATTTCATTATTCGCGAGTTATAAACTTATGACGCCAAACATAAAATATACTAAGCAAGGAAGAAAAAGTAAAAAAGAACAATTAAATTTGGACAAACCTCAAATATGATCCAAGTACATTGGTAGTTCAACTTTCAAATTACCAATAAATAATTTTTTTATCAATTTCTTTTGAAAAAAATTAATCAAAGATTTTCATCTATATTTTCAATGTTATTTTTTAAAAAAAATAATATCATTTTATAAAAAACTTAATGTTTTTTGTTTAATGATTCGAACAAAAACCCTTAACTAAAAACTCAAGATAATTTAATGATAAATTGATATAAAAATAATTTAAAATACAAAATTAATCTTACTTCAACAATAATTTAATGGTGTATTGATAGTTTGCTCATTACGTTATTAGGATACAAAACAAAATTCTTGTGCATGGAATTTTCGCGGGGTAAAAGTCATTCTCCCCCTCCACATCATTAATGCTCCACTTCCATTATTTTAGTTTTAAATTAGTTTATTATATGCACCAAGCTGGAAAAAAATATAATAAATTACAATATGTTATGAAATAATAAATGTCTATTTCATATTTTTCACACTCGTATGATTAAATTTACCATTAAATATTATTATTTTGATTACGAATGAGCATGTGGAACGACTCATCCAAGAGACAGATTGCAATGCAATGGGCGAAAGTTGACAAGAATGCCATATACCTCAAGGCTATCGGGGAGAAAAAGAAAAAAGGCTATATGGTGTAGGCACATAGGTCGTGCATTACCTGTCCGGATCATTCTCACCCTCCGGATCATTAATGAAGAGCTTTGGAGGGACTATAAGGCGACGAAGGAAGCAATGAAAGGGATGTAGGTGAAACAACATAAGCTTCAAAACTTGGTCACAAAGTAGTAGAGCACTATACATAAACTTCACTCTCGGTATAAGACGATGGCCTCCTTAGGGATGAGGTTGGCACAAACAACTAGGGTTCTTATAGATTTGTTGACCGATCAAGACTCCACCATTCCTCTTACATAGCTTCCCGCCCAGCTTCACATCGAGCCCCCCACACAATATCGGGAGAAGGATAGGAGATTAGATAAGCGGGATGAGTGATAACACATTTTGTAACTTTTTTTTTTTTTTTTATCAAACATACTACTAAATGTTACTCGTTAATATTAATTTATATTTAATTTATACGTTATTACTTGTAATTATCAATCATTACATATCATATTAATAATTTAAAAACAAATAAACAAAACAAGATTAAAAAAATATTTTTTTCGAAATTAATTAACAATGGAATAATAATGGATTTTTGAAAAAAATCCTTGCCTATAGCGACAAAATACTAATGGATACCAACGATAATTAGTAATGGAATAGAGATAGTTTAGTGATGATCGCACTTAGCTTTGGATATTAACGATGGCATGTTGATTGTTATTCGGTGACGGATTAACGAGGACGAGTCATGACGAGTCTTGCGACCAAAACAACAACGGATTAGCGAGACAAAAAGGATTTTTTCATCGCTAATTTTAGCGACAAGCATTTTAACGACGGATCTATCGTTAGTCGTAACGCCTTCAATAAGTCTGTTTTAGTGAGGGATTGTAGCCAATTAGCTATAGAATAATATGTCGCTACTTGCATATTTTTTTATAGTGATTGTTTCATAAATTCTAAGCCTCATGAATGGGTACCATGGCTAAAGTAAGCTAAATTTTGTCATAACACAAGCCTACATGATTCAACTCATAAAACTATTTTTAAAGTGGTATATGATAGATCTATACCTAATTTACTAACCTATATACTAGGTACAACAAGTGTGGAAGCGAGTAGAACAAACATTTCAAGCCATGGACCAAACTCTTAAAGACTTAAGGTCTCACCTACAACGAGAGATAAGCAAGAATAAGACAAGTATATGATAAAAGGCGAGAATGAAACTAGAATTTAAAGTTTGTGACTAGGTATATCTACTCCTATAGCTATATCACCAAACTTTCTTAGCGTTGTACAAGTCACGGAATATGTCACGATGTTTTTAGGGCCATATCGAGTCATGCGGTGAATTGAAACGAGTATATTATCGCTTGGACCTACCTTGGGGACTAAGATTCATCATATGTTCTATGCATCCCTTCATAAAAAAGTAGTTGATTATGAAGAGCAAAATGGATTCATATCGACCGGTTGTGTTAGAAAGGTTAGGATTAGTACATCCACAACCTCTTGTAATCTTGGACGATTGCAAGAGAGGTTGAAAATGTGAATTGCTCTTTCATTGGCAAAGTTTTCTAGCTACAAATGCTACGTAGGAAGAAGAAGACTCTTTCCAAGCAAGGTTTCCTGCTTTTACTAGTCTTTGAGGACAAGAAACTTTTTAACGGGGGAGGAATGTTACGTTCATGCCTTAGATTCCATTATTTAAGTTATATTTAGTTGTTAATATTATAACTTGACTCGGTATTATATTTTCTTAAGTTAGTAGACACATAAATGCGGTAATGGACTATAGTCTTTAGCTATCCACTTCTTAGCTATTTTAGTTGCTATTTTCTAGTTTATTTGTTATCACAGTGGAGTCAAGTTTTAGTTGTAAGTCTATACTATATACTTGTCGAGTTATGCTTAATAAAGATATCTAGATAAAATTTCAGAACTTGTTCTTTGAGCATACTATCTATATATCTTTCTTTTGCTAATTGTGATCGAAACAAAGCTCGAGGACAAGGACGAAGGCGAGGAAGAGGACAAGATCATGACATGCAATTTTAGAAAAAAAATTGAGAAAGGCAAAAACGAGTTAGTAAAGGTAAATTGGATGAACTCAAATAGGAATGGAGGTCATTGAGTTCTTATTTGGATACAAATTTCTAAATAATTTAAAGACAATAAAGTAAATGCCTTAAGAAGAATAATGTAAAGCAAATCACTAAGTCAACATAGTTTTTAAACAAATCCATTAAGCCAACTGCGAAACCCTTGTAAATAGAAAAATACATAAGCTAGTCATAACCACATGAGCCACATTGCTAGGAAAAAAAATTAAATTTTACGGGAGAGAGAACCCACTTAGAGTCATAAGAAAAATAACGATGAAACATATGACAACATAGACAACAATTGAGTTCACTAGATAACATATCATATCATTAGCAAATAATGCATAAAATTAAAAAAACAAACACAACGAACCTAAAAGTTGAAAAAAAAATGATCATAGGAGGTTACTTGGTAATGACTTACACAAATAAAATAAGAAATCAAACCTCAAATCGAACATATAAGCTTTTGTAGCTTTGTTAGCTCTTTCTCTCCTCCAAGCAATCATATGGTCGTCAAAATAAAATAAAAAAGTTCAATAGAGGAAAAAACGATAAAGTTGTAAGAGCACGAAAGTCGATTGAACACAATAAGAGAGCTTAAAACATTCATGAAATTCTCATAACTAACCAAAAGAGAGAAAGGAATGCAAGACAAATATTAAAAGAAACATAAGAGAAAAAAAGAAAAGGAAAATAAATAAATAAAATAACTTCTAAACCCGAATTAATTTGGATGCATAAAATAGCAAAGCATCCAAAAAGCTCCCACAAATGAGAATCACACCTTCTCACTTTGTAAATCCAAGTACAAAAAATTAGAGCATCTAAGTTGTTATTCAATAAATAATTAAAAAAAACATATTGACAATGATAAAATAAACTCTCTAATATAAAATAAAAAAAACATCGACTTTTCGAATTAAAAATAGCAAAAATTTTAAACCATAAAATCTATAATAATTCTCATTAAAAACTACAAAGAAACAACACAAATACAACAAATGAAGACAACACAACACAAATAATAACAATAATAAATAGATAAAACAAAAATGGAAAAACTTATCTTCCTCATCCTTTGTAAAATCGTTGAAAACATACTAAAACTCACAAATCCATCACGTAAAAACCAAAACCGAACAATAAACTATCATGGCCCCCATCATTTACTCTTTCTTCTTGCATTTTTTTTTTTTTTTGATATGTGTGAGAGAGAGAGATTGAGAATGAAAAGGTACTGTTTGATAATCAAGAATGAAACGATGGAATGAGAATGAAATTTTTATTCTTACATTGTAACTCGTTTAGTTAAAAGGAATGAAGTAGTAATGAGAACGAAGAGTAAGAATGAGAATGAAAATTATACACAACTTCATTCTTATTTAAAATGTGGGAATAAAAAAAATAATGCGAATGAATTTTTTTTCAAAATAATTATTTATTTATTATCTATTAAATATTTTACCATCACCACAATAACCACTAGAACCACCACTAACGTAACCACATCTACCGCCATAAGCACTAACACTATCATCATCACAATCACCAATACCATCATTATTTTTATTATTTTTATAACCATTATAGTTTGATAAAATTATTTTTTTAATCATTATTTTTATTTATATAAAAAATCGGATATTAAAAAATTTAAATTGCATCCTAATTTCTTATTATTATTTCAAACATGGTATAAGAATAAAAAATTCTTTTCGATTTCTACATTCTCATTCCGTATTTTTCATTTTTGATAATCAAACGACATCTAAGTTTTTTTTTTTGCTTTCATGTGCATTGTGTGATTAAAAGTGTGTGAGAGATGAGAAGAAGGAAAGAGAGAGAGAGAGAGAGAGAGAGAGAGAGAGAGAGAGAGAGAGAGTATTGATGAGGTGTAAGGTAGTTATTAGTTTAAAAAGCTACGCTTTGATAATTTTAAAATTGTCAAAATAGTTGAAATGACTTATAAGCCCTTCA